AAACTGACCTTCAGCTTATAAAATTGTTAAGAATTTGACAATTTGTCTATAGAATTTTGAAGAATTTGACCCTTTATCTATAGAATTTTGAAGATTTTGACCTCTGACCTACAGAATTGTGAAGCATTTGACCTATGACTACAGAATTGTGAAGAATTTGACCTATGACCTACAGAATTGAGGATCCTGTGAAGAGGTATATGTTGCTGTGTTATTTCCCACCCATGTCGCTGTAGCAGCCATAGAACCTGAAAAAAAATTATAAAATTTTAAACTGAAATCATATCCCTCAGAATAAAACAGACAAGCTGATTGGTCTTGAGCATGTCACTTGCAGAGAGACAATTTGTTATGTCTCCCTCAAGTGCAGGGTGATATCTGTGGTAGTAGAAGCAAGCATTTAGGTTGACAATTGTGTTGTCTTTCTTTAGATGAAATTAGAATGCCTTGCACAAAATGACTCTTCTAATTTAGGCATATAAATGATACTGTACCATAAAATAAACAAAATGAACCTCTCATAAAACTACGAAATTCCGGAGAATTGACTTACTGCGTGGGGGAAATGCGCTGATGTTGGATAATGTCGGTGATTGTGAGACGTGAGAGGACACCTGAGCCCCGAATCCCTCCCCCATCGGCGAGGGCAGACCGTGAGACATGGCACTGGCTGCTGCTGACGATACAAAAGTAATCATATCGACGACACATTTCTGTGATGATTTAAAGTATTTACATCAATGACAACTTTTCTACAATGATATTAATTTGACGCAATTCTATGATGATATAAAAGTAACAATGCATGTCTATGATGTGATGTTCCTCTGTGACGGTCCTCTCACAGAGTACTACTTATATATCAGATATAATCAACAACAGATGCTGAGCTCAGATATAATACTGTATACAGGGTTCTTTTTGCCCCGTGTTATTTTCGCCCTTTCACACTTGCAAACGATTTTGCCCCATTTTAATTTCCTCCAGTCACAGTTTTGTTTAAGAAATTATACATGTAAATGTATTGTTTTTTTTAATTTGCACCATTTTAAATTCGCCCATCTGTGAGTAGGGCGAAAGGGGCGAAAATAAAATGGGGGCGAAAATTTCCCTGTATACAGTACTTCCTAAACATCAGATATCAACTATAATGGATGCTATTCTACAATATAGACTAAGTACTGCCTAGATATAACTTAAGTTATACATACTATATAATGCTACTCTCCCATACACATGTCTAGATATCATGTAATGCTTTACTGAGATACAAATTTAGTATTGTCTGTACATCAGATATCACCAATGTACAAAACAGCTGTGATATAGCCAGGATATCAGATATCAATGATGCTTCTCTCTGATACAGCATATATGATATCAATGATACAGATATTATACTGTCCTGGCATCAGACTAACATTCTCTCCAACTGCTAGAGAACTGCCTAGATATCGGGTTATAATGAAATGTTAGTGATACAGCTATAATGCTTCTCAAACAAACAGAGTACTGTATAAACAATAGATATCAAATATATATTATACGTTTACTCTCAAACACAAAATAACATCCAAATATCAAGTCAATTCTCTTGCTATATTTAGCCTTTTTTCAAAAATATTGATCTGAAAAAAAGAGGTAAACATTTGCTCACTCATACTGAATAAAAATGTTATTAGGCTACATCTTATTTATGTTCCCCAAACGGAGTTTGGGAACATATTGTTTTTACTCTGTTTCTTATTATTATTATTAAGGTCTTCCGTTTCAGACGGAAGACCTTATAGTGATTCTACTGTTTTTTCTTTTTATTATTATTTTTTTTCCCTTTTCGTGTAAATCGGATTCCTTAGAGATGGCTGGACGGATTTTCTTGAAATTTTCAGGGATGATAGAGAATCAGAATATCTTTCAAATGCAGTTTTCAGTTTTTCAAAATTCACTTCCGGTCGTCAGATATGTCCGATTTCCGCTTTTTTCAAAAAAATTTTGTCCCAGTCATATCTCAGAAACGGTAAGAGATGAAGACACCAAACTTATATGAGTAATAGATCTTGATAAGTAGGCAAAACCAATTGGGTTAACACAGTTCGCCGTCACTTCCGGTCGTCACAGGAAGTGATCAAAGAAATCGAAAATTTCAACTTTTCTTTTTTGAACCTTTTTTAGCAGCACGAAATAGTATTTCATTTGTAGTTTCGAAATATGCCAGTCCCACCGGAAACAAAAACGACGACTTCCGGTTATAAGAGAAAAACTACAAAATTTGAGTATTTTTCTTTCCCATAAATATCTTTTATAGATAAAGTATTTTTAATGATTTTAGGATATGTGATTCAGACTACAAATGTCTACAGTAACGTCAAATATCTTTGTAAAATTCACTTCCGGTCGCGTGATTTCCTGTCCTCAAAATGAGAAGTTATCATAGCTAGATCTCGTAAACGGAAAAAGATTAAGACACCAAACTTATACAATTGGTAGATCTTGATGAGTAGGCAACTTCAGTTTGGATAAGATTGTCCGCCGTCACTTCTGGTCGTCACAGGAAGTGTACCAAAAAAAATAAAAATTTTCAAATTTTCTTTTATGAAACTTTTTTGGCATGCCGTTATAATATCTTATTTGTATTTTTAAAATATATCAGTCCAACCGGAAACAAAAACGTCAACTTCCGGTTTTAAGAGGAAAAACTGCATGATTTTAGTATTTTTCTTTCCTCTAAATATTTCTTATTCATGACATATTTGTAACGATTTTTGGATATGTAATTCACACTGCAAATGTCTACAGGAAGGTCAAATATCTTTGTTAAATTCACTTCCGGTCACGTGATTTTCTGTCCTCAAATTGAGAAGTAATCATAGCTAGATCTCGTAAACGATAAGAAATTAAGACACCAAACTCTTTCAAGTGGTAGATCTTGATGAGTAGGCAAAACCAGTTGGGATAACATTGTCCGCCGTCACTTCCGGTTGTCACAGGAAGTGATCAAAGAAATAAAAAAAATTCAACTTTTCTTTATAGAAACTTGTTGCATCACATTATATCATCTTATTCGTAGTTTTGAAATATGATAGTATCACCAGAAACAAAATCGACAACTTCCGGTTAAAAGAGAAAAACTACATACCCGGTAATTTGAGTATTTTTCTTTCCCGTAAATACTTTTTATAGTTAAAGTATTTGTAATGATTTTTGGATATGTTATTCAGACTGCAAATGTCTACAGTAATGTCTAATATCTCAGTAAAATTCACTTCCGGTCGCGTGACTTCCTGTTCTCAAAATCAGAAGTCATCATTGCTAGATCTCGTTAACGGTAAGAGATTAAGACACCAAACTACTAGGGGTGGTAGACCTTGATGAGTAGACAAATCCTTTGAGTTTAAGATCATCCACCGTCACTTCCGGTTGTCACAGGAAGTGATCAAATAAATCAAAAATTTAAACTTTTCTTTATGGAATCTTTCTTAGTATTACCTTATAGCTTCTTACTAGTAGTTTCGAAATTTGTCAGTTCCATTGGAAACAAAAACGACGATTTCCAGTTATGAGAGAAAAACTGCATAAATTGAGTTTCTTACTATCCCATAAATTTCTTTTATAAAAAGAGTATTTGAAATGATTTTGGGACATGTTATTCAGACTGAAAATGTCTAGAGAAACCTCAAAATGAGACCTTTGACCCTTACTCAAAAAGTAATAAAGAAATATTCATTACCTTTTTCTAGATTCCGCTTCAAGTGTTTATCTCAAGTTTACCTTTCTCTCTCTCTCTCTCTCTCTCTCTGATGACCTTGACCTTTGACCTTGTTCTTTGGCCCCATTGACCCAAAGGTCACAATCAAGCTTACGGTTGTGGAGGTATTTGCAACTCTTACTCTAACAAATGCTTATAAAATATCCCCTCCTTTCTCTAAAAACAAAACAAAACAATCAATACCAACTTAGAGAAAATGTCTACAAGTCAAACGAAACGAAATATTGGCATAAGATTCGTAATAAAAGAAAGAAGAGACCTGAAAGAAAGTGTCCTGAGAGTTTTAAGGTGAGTCTCTGAAGTATTTTGAAATATCGGCAAAATCTGCATTTTTTTCTGTCTGAAATTAAATTATTGCTTAGCATAAAAATTAATTAAAACTCGGATATTTCTGCAATTATTGTTAATATCATTCGATTCTCCTGCTCCATTACGACATTTTTATACCAAGTATTCTTGCTTTCTTAGGTGTATGGAATTTATTTGAATTTTATTTAGATTTAAATATGAATCGGCTGAAACTCGGAAATGACGATTTTTCATATCAATTGAATTTCCACGCAATTGAGATAGGTCAATTGCAGTTACCCCGCTTGATACGATATGGTGTTGAAAAAATGCCCATGACTCACTCACTCTTTTTCCAGGATTTTGAATTTACTCTGCAACTGACCACGTGTATTAGTTTCGCTTTACAACTCTGTATATGCTAAATGTCATTGCTTCACTGCAAATGTGTCCCATAATTATTCTAATCATTTTCCTACATACAATATCACATCAAACAGCCAATATCTCAGTTTTTTAAGAAATTTGACCGGGACTTTACTACGAAACTATTTCTTTCACTTCGAAACTATTTCCTTCAACCTTAAAATACTAAGCTTACAAAATACCTGAAATGTTGTGGAAGTTGGTGGCTCAGTGGTTAGCGTGTCCGACTTTCATACTAATGGATTTGGGATCCTGACCAGATGGAGGAATTGATATCTTTTTTTTTTTTTTTTTTGCATTTTGTTTTTTTTTAAATACAAATATATTCTTCTTACAGATAAGAGAGGAGAACGGAAGACCTTCTTTGTTGCTGTAGCAACAAGAGTTTCTAGTTATGTTCCCCAAACGAAGTTGGGGAACATATTGTTTTTACTCTGTTTCTTATTATGATTATTTTTCTTCTTCTTCTTCTTCTTCTTCTTCCTGGGTACTTTTTTGTCCGGGAGTGATCTTGTAAACTGTTCGTCCGATGTAGGTAAAACCTTTTTAGGGTCAGTAGACATGTTATGTAGATTTGCGGAATCAAGGTCATTTTGCGCGCACGTGCTTGCAAGAGCGTGCACGTGCAACACGTGAAATGACTAATATAATGGATATTGCCGTAACTTTTCTATTTTTTAATGAATTTTTTTGAAACTCATAATGTAAGGATACATTAGAAGTAAAGACAAGATAGCATGGTCGAAATGGCAAGATCTCATGCGCATGCACGTGCGCTTTGCTCTGATTGGCTGAAACTAAAGTCTCAATATCTTTCTTGTTTCTTGTCATAATCCTTTGAAATTTTGAACAGAGTCCTACATTATGAAGATCTAAAGCATGATATAAAAAATTTCATGAAAGCATGCGCATGTGCGCGTGCTGCAATATGATTGGCTGAAACTTTAAATGGCTATATCTCCTTTGTTTTTTGACGAAATTCTTTGAAATTTTAAACATTGCCATGCATTAGGATATCCTACAATATGGTGTAGAAAAAAATCATGAAATCACGCGCATGCACGTGTGCTGCAATCTGATTGGCTGAAACTTGAAATGGCTATAACTCCCTTGTTTTTCAACCAAACCGGATGGGATTTAGAACATAGATAGATGTAAGGGACATAGATAGATGTAAGGGACCCCTATAAGAA